AAAAAAACCGGCAACAAAATGAGTCTAGTAAATAGATTATGGAGAGTGTTAGTTTCTTAATATTTGCTGAAGTTTTACATTTTCTTTCGTTAAAATTTTTGGGGTTTCTTTTTAAAAAAATAAAGAACACGTGTATGGGTGATTCTTGTGCAAATAATTGTTTTGGTAGTCGCCTCAAAAAGCTGTGAAAAACAAGGTGTAACTTAATCGAAAATATTTTAATATAAGGTCTCCGCTTCAGAAAAAAAGACAATCATATACTTCATAGGAGAGGAGAGAGGACAAGCATCTGTTAACTCTTGGTTTTGTAACAAGCACTCTACAACACCCCTTCTTGATAGATTTTCATCTGATAAGCAGAACTGTCACAATTAATTGGCTTTCCATATGTGCACAAAAACCCTGCTTTCTAAATGTGTATCATACATCTACTCACTCATGATATTTGTCGAGTTTGCGTATTCTTTTATACAATTTATTCCTAATAAAATATAATAATTTTTAGCTTTTGGATTCGTCCAAACCAAGTGATTTTCAATCAGTTTTAGCCCTGTGCAAATTGTATAAAGTTTCTTTTCTCCACTGTGTGAAAACGACTGTTGCAGTAGCTATGTACGCTCTCGGGAGAGACCCAAATATCTACACAGACCCCGAGGAGATCAAACCTGAACGATGGATACGGTCATCAGAGGAGAGAGATGTGAACCCTTTCGCCTTCGTACCCTTTGGTTGGGGTCAGAGAAGTTGCATAGGTACTTGTTTTGGATTAGATTGATTTTGCAATAAAAGTATGTAATTTATAAACAAAGGCTATTAATGGAGGAATTGAACGTGAGACAGAAAATTGTTCAAATATGAACAAAAATTAGTCCAAAGGCTAAGAAATTCAAGATATAAAGGTTTGAATACTAGTAAAGAACAAAACAAAATAAAACAAAATATAAAATACCGCCCCAACCTCATAGTCTGCTTCGAAGCAATGTTCAAAATTTAACCCTAGCCAATACATGGAGGACATGATACAGAAGTGAACCTCTTAAACATGATACAAGACTAGTTTTACAATACTTTCACTTTCTTTATCGTTTGCATGCTTTCAGAACTGTAGACTTTACACATGAGCAGTAATATAATTTGTAAAAGTTTGTTTAGAATAATATCTGTATAGTTCACTCTGATTGTGTTATTTCCTTTTAGGTAGAAGAATTGCAATGGCAAACGTTCAGTTCCTACTAATCGAGGTGAGTTTGAAAGATTTATGTAGACAATAAGAATAAGTAAGTGTTATGAATGTTTCTGCTTCTTGTGTTTGCGCTTTTGATTGTTATATTTCACTGGATTTTGCATGTGTGTCCTCAAGAGGGACTCTTAACTCATTAATTTGTTCTTTAGTATTGCAAGCCTGTCGAGAGGGGGGGGGGGCAGGGGGGCCAATACCCCGGGGCCCGGGGGGTAGGGGGGCCCGCAAGCACGGAGAAAAGAGAGAGAAAAGAGAGAGAGAGAGAGAGAGAGAGAGAGAGAGAGAGAGAGAGAGAGAGAGACAGAGAGACAGAGAGAGAGAAAGGAAGAAAGAAAGAGAGAGAGAGAGAGAGAGAGAGAAAGGAAGAAAGAAAGAGAGAGAGAGAGAGAGAGAGAGAGAGAGATTACCGTGCAAAGCTTTGAAAAAAAATATTTTAGCTGCAATTTGACCTGTATATCTGTCAACTTTACAGAACTTTGGTAAAATGTAGTGCTTTCATATAAATCTGGATTGTTATGATTTTGGCGGACACGTTCGCTTCACAGCGCTGTAAATAGGTGGGCTCACGTTAATCAGATACGTCTGCTACATCATAGGAGATCCTATCCCTAACCTTAATACTGCAGAAACAGACATAGATGTAGGGCAGCTGGAAGAGGGTGGAGGGGTCCTGTTAAGAAAATTTGACATTGGATTGATAAACAATGAAATTCCCTCACCTTCTCGGGTAGAAACAGCAGTTTGTTATGGAGCAGAAAGCCATCCCAGCAGTTACTCTTTAGATGTGAACGGGCGTGCCTTTCCACTCTCTGTACTTAAAACAAAAATGCCGAACGATGAGACAGTGATTCGTGATTGGCTAGTGTGGAGCAATACGAAACAAGCATTTTTCTGTTTTCCTTGTCGACTTTTCAGCAAGCTTCCAGGGCCATCGGGATCGTCTCTTGCTAGATCTGATGGTTATGGAACTGATAAGGCTTGGAAAAAAATGCACGAAAAAATTCCACAACATGAAAACTGTTCAACCCAAAGAACATGTTACGTTGAATGGCGCTCTATGGAACAAAGTGTCTCAACCAACTCTACTGTTGACAGCCTTTTCTGTGAGAGAATTAAAAATGAACAGTTAATGTGGAAACAGACACTGCGACGACTACATCTTGACGTTAGTTACATTATTCCTAGCTGAACGGGGTTTAGCGTTCAGGGGAAGCAATTGTCTTATCGGAGATCCCAGTATTGGAAATTTTCTTGGACTTCTGGAATTGATTGGCCATTACGATCCTCTCAACGAAAGTTGAAAAATCACATAAAGAAAAAAAGGCGCCTACAAGTTCACTATCTATCAACAGAAAGTCAAAATGAATTTATCCAATGTTGTGCATCAAAACTGACAGACGTGATTTTGAATGAAAGAGCGGAAACAAAAATATATTACTCCATTATCGTTGATGCAACACCAGACTCTTCACACGTCGAACAAACTGTTTTTATTTTGCGTTATGTTCACTTGGACAGTGATACAAGTGTCTACAAAGTAGAAGAGAGATTTCTGAAATTTGTAGATTGTAACAAGAAAACAGAAGAAGACATCGCTAAAGGTATCCTTGATACACTGAATGAGCGCTCATATGACCTTAGTAGTTGCGAGCGCCGTAAAACCCCATACTACTACACTGAATGAAAAACAACTTCCAATTACAGACTGCTGAGGCCAAGGCTACGACAACGGTAGCAACATGTGTGGTCTGTATAATGGTGCACATGCTCACATCTTAAGACAGTGTTCACTTGCCACATACTGTCCCTGTGGCTGTCATAGTTTTAAATTGTGTGGCGTGCATTCTGCAGAAAGCTGTTCAACAGTCATAACTTTATTTGGAGTTGTACAAAAGCTGTATAACATTTTTAGCTCCAATCCACAAAGGTGGGAAATTTTGAAGCAAAACATTCCCAGCTCTTTGCACAGTATGTCTCAGACACGTTGGTCAGCCCGTGTTGACAGAGTCAGGCCTTTTGCGGCTCACTTTGGGGGACTGGGGAAAGCTGTTCAAACTGTTCTTCCAATGAACCTCACCCCAGAAACACGTTCAGATTTGATTGGTATTGTTAAGTACTTTGCATCATTTGAATGTGTGATAATTGCATCTGTTTGGTTCAAAATCCTCACAGCAATCGATCACAGCACGGGATGCGACGCTTGACGTTCAGGTGGCAAATATCAATAGTCTGATTAAAGATCTGAAAAGCTTACGAGATGAATTGGACGCAATCTTGAGTGAGTCCAAATTAGTAGAAGATGACTATGAGATTGAGCATTCTTTCGCCGCCCGAAGCGCTTTTCCCTTTCGTCAACCCGCAGCCACCTCCCAATCGTCAGCCACCCCCAACCTTTGACACGGGTCAAACTTCCATCTATTTATAGGTAGTTACCGGAACATGTATAGGTGAAGTGATGTGCCGTGATAGTCGCGATATATTATTTATTGAGATTGTTTTGGTCTCTCTTTACTCATCACCACGAGAATTTCTTGAAGTTTTTCCCTGGACTCTGCCTTTGCTAAAATCTCGAATCTAGATCTAGATCTAGATCTAGAGTTGTAATCTAGTGGCAGGTTGCAGATTTCTGTTGTTATCCAGTACATTCCAGAGATTAAATAAATTGGATTAGACTCTAGATCTAGTAGTAGACTCTTCTTCTTCTACTTCTAAACCTTCGAGATTACAAAGGCCAAGCCTAGGCTAGTAAGGATTCGTTTTGTTAAAAGTGTTGTTTAACACAAAGTCTATGAAGTTAGCAAACCTAACACATTGTTTTCTAACGAAATGATGCTTAAATTGTCAATAAGAGATCAAGTTTAATCACCTAATCATTTAAGTAAGGAAGTGGCTATTGCTATCCTCGCCCGGGGTGAGAATAAAAACCCTACGATTGACCTCTCACCCCGGGTGAGACTTGCCAACGTTGGCTATTCTCACCCAGTGTGAAACAAGACCTGTTTTTCCTAATTTCGAAATGCTTTCTATCGGTGTGGATGATCAAATTGACAAAGGCAAAGAAAAAAAATGACGTTATAGCACAAAAGTAAGCTAATTTGATCGTCTACAAAGATGCTATGGCTCTTTCACTTTTCGAATCGACCGAACTACGCGGGTCACCATTTCGTTTTGCCCGAAAGTTCTCGCAAGATCTACTCCTCCCCCCTCTCTCTCTCTCTCTCTCTCTCTCTCTCTCTCTCTCTCTCTCTCTCTCTCTGTCGGCAATTTATTAAATCTGCAACCTGCAATTAGATTACAACTAGATCTAGATTCGAGACTTTAGTAAAGGCAGAGTCCAGGGAAAAACATCAATTAAATTCGTGTGGTGCAGATGAGTAAAGAGAGATCAAAACAATCTCTCTATTGCGACTATCATTGCACATCACTTCGCCTAATACATGTTCCGGTAGATTTAACTACCTATAAATAGATGGAAGTTTGACCCGTGTCAAAGGTTGGGGGTGGCTGACGATTCGGAGGTGGCTGCGGGTTGACGAAAGGGAAAAGCGCTTCGCCGAAACAGCAAAACGACAATGGATTGAGCATTCATTTACCGAAACTGCAAAACGGCAAAAGAAAAGGAAGTTTTTTGCAGACGAGACAGAAGATGTAACAGACTACCAAAATCCCGAGAACAAATTTAACGTGAAGTTTTTTATGTTCTCATTGACTGCCTTCTTGGAAATTTGACGAAAGGTATAATGCAGTGACAAAACTCGATTCATTATTTAGTGTTTTGTGGAAATATCCCCAAGAGGAAGTCGGCGTTATTCGTAATCTTGCAAAAAAATTGCACACGGAATATGCAGAGGATGCATCAGTAGACCTTGCGCAAGAGTTGGAACATTTGAAAGTGATTCATTCAGAGAACATTGGAGAAAATTTCCTGCCACCTCTTCAGTTGCCTAACAGACTTCTTTCCCTGAAACTGGATGCTTTGTTTCCGAACGTTGTAATCATGTTGAGAATTTTCTGCACCTCGCCTGTCACAGTTGCGCAAGCTGGACGTTCCTTCAGTACCCTTTCTCGAGTAAAAAACATTTTGTGGTCCTCAATGTGTCAAGACAGACTCACAAGTCTTGGAACTTTGGCCACAGAGGCCAGTCTAGCGCGAAAATTGGACTACAAACCAATGATTGACAGCTTTGCTAGAGCTAAATCCCGTAAGGCTCCGTTGTTGTAAGAAAAAAGGTATGCTACATTACAATTTATTTTAGTTTCTGTTATTGGTTTATTCATCTTACCTTCATTTTTAACTACCCGGTATATCAGAAAACTTGATGTTGACATCACCCAGCATTTGATGGAGGGGTGGGAGGGCGGGACAAAGGAGGCTGGGGTGGAGAGAGAGAGAGAGAGAGAGAGAGAGAGAGAGAGAGAGAGAGAGAGAGAGCGTATGTTGGTATGTAATAGATATGCTACAGTAAAGTGATTGTATATGCTTATGTACATTGTTGGGTTATTAAATTGCAGGTGAGGGTGGGTGGGGCCGGGGTGAATGTTTGAGGAAACAGAAGGAACAAACCACACCTGAGCATCTGCCAACCACCTACGTAAAAAGAAGAACAATAATGATAACGTGTAAGAATAACAGTTGACATTGATTTTCTACTCACTTCAGCTCCTTCGTCGGTTCCAGTTTACCAGCCATACGAAAGAACTGCATTTGGAATCACGCCTCTCGTTAACCCCACGTCATCCCATCCACCTGAAACTGACTCCCAGGATATAAACTGCCCCATCCTCATGACACTCGCCTCATATTTCGACTGTAAAAACCAGCATCGTATTCACCACGAACAAATCTGTGATCTGAAAATACACATGTTAAATTATTAAAATGCGTAATAAAGCATCAGTATATATCGTCGGTATGAGTTGCTTCAATTTTTGTGGGGGTTACTTTTTCGCTTCCTTGTGACCGTCGTCTCTGTCACTATCGCCATGATGAATTTTTCCGGTTCTTTTTCTGTTTGTTTTTACACTTTTCCACGCTCTGATATTGGCTATCCACATCCTAACAGACAGCATGGCGTAGCCGATTACAAATTTTGCCAACTCAAAAGTTCGAAGTGCAGTTACAGCCTCATGTATTCAACATCAATTGCTCGAGCATCCAGGTACACCTTTACTGGTCCAAACTCCCGTCTGGGATCACGCTTTTCGCTTTCAAATTGACTTTATGACATGTTACGGAAATCGGAGAGCCACCTTATTATTTTCTTCTTTCTCCACCGCTACCACCTCCAGTCCCCCCACCTCTCTCTCTCTCTCTCTCTCTCTCTCTCTCTCTCTCTCTCTACGTCTTGGCCTCCTCCACTCCGTTCCCCCTCCTCGTGTCGTCCTTCTCCTGTTCTTCTTTCTCACAATTCAAATTCTCCCCCTCCACGTTCCTCCAACGATCCCCCTTTATCTATTTCTTTTCCTTCTCCTCTTAATCCTACTCTCCCGCCTCTTGCGCGTCACTGCCTGTCAGACAAAAACAATTTCCCTCCGTGTCAAGCGCATGAACCAAAGAAAGAAACGAAGGAAAAGAACTGTGCTAGCTTTATGAATGATTTACACCAAGGAACTGCTCGATTAAAACCTGAGGACTGACATTTCCTCCGTGCTTCGTCTTCGTTCTATCAATTCTAAGTAGGAAACAGTTCTATCCATGGTTTTATTTCTCCCGATTATTTGTGGATAGATGATTCAACTTGTGTTGATTTTATCTGCTAAGAGTGGGACAGAGCAGCCCACTAGAAAGTGAATATACATGTCCTTGATAAATTAGATTTCCCAAAATGGGAATCGAACTCATGTTTTTTTTCAAGAGTGGATAACCTAAACCTTTACTAAACTAACGCCAATCTCAGAGATTGATCTTTAGGGTATATATTTTTTAAATGAAGCGGTATTCAATGAACGAAATTTTGATATTCACATGATATCATTGATGTATTGCGTCTTATCACGCAGAACTGGGAGAAGCTCTATATCTGTAGCCGTTCAAGTTCATGGATCTGATTTTCTTTTCAAACAGCTGAGCAGGAATTTCATGTCTCACTGAAGCGTATCAAGCAGCCAGCGGGTTCTTTTCTTAGTTTACATACCTGCCTATACAATCTTGAAATGTGTTCTGCGTAGTATGTAGAGCAGGCTTCACACTTAAGGTAGGCAGTAAACAGCTATCTACAAGAGTGACTGTGTAGTGTGCGTAATTCGTAAATATGCAGTTGTTTTACTGTCAATTCCAGTTAATTATGTAAACTTTCAAACTGTCAATTTTTTTTCTTGTGAAATGCACAATACCTCAAGAGAGTAGACGCTATAGAAGTGATCTTAATTGTAATTTGTATTATAGCTGTGAAAATAGATGAGAGAACCGAAGTTCATCTCATACTAAGCTTATAAATTCAACTTGAAACTTAAAGGGCTGTAGGTCTAGTCACACAAAACACCCTTTGTCTTGTTGTTGTGTGAAATACGTTCAGTAATAATATGTTTCGATTCTTTTGCATTATTAATTCATAAAATGTTTATCAGTGTCAAAACAACGACACCTAATATAGTTGGCAAATGATAAATTTTAACAAATCGGATATTGCAAACGCAGCAAACAGACCTTTTGAGTATGCAACATCTGTTTAATAAGCTAAGGTTGATGTTATTATGTGCAACTGTCGATAATTTTCGTCTACGCCACTTTCAGCTGAGATTTTTTTTATCCGTGCGTGTACAAGAAATTACCTCTGCCATTGGATTGGTATGTGTTTTTGTTTAGTATAGTCCACATTGGTTTTGAAAGTGGAACAATGCCTAAATTTGTACTTTTATATTCCTTATACGGTTAAAAAAGTTCTGATATGTAGTAAACAAAGGCTAGAATTGTGTCCATTACTACCCAGATTCCATTCTACCGGCCTGGGCCGTAACACAGGAATACGCAACTTATTTTTTTGACACATTCGGCCTACTATGTTTATCAATTAGAAGGATCTGAATAACTTACGAAACTGACGAAAGTAAAATGCCTAGAAGCATGTTTGTAGTATGGTTACATGTGCATTTGTAATATCCATTGTGCTGATATAAAACGAGTTGGGGGTTTTTTCTTTGTAGATTTCAATGATTTTGTTTGGTTTAGAAACGCACCGACAGTTATTGTATATATACTCAAGCATAATCAGACATTGCTGCAAAAAGAAAATTTCACTTGGATGCAGCTGAGTCATGCGATATACTTGTACCCTAACACATTTTTTAAATTTTCTTTTTATTTCTATACACGTTTAAATAACTTTAGCATTTAATTAAAATGTGGCGTTTTCGATCCCCCCC